CTGTGGTGAAAGCAGCAATATTGGAGGTAAAACGACACTTCATGAATTATAATTACTGGGTAGATGTAAAATCATGTACCACAAAATCATCAACTACTGCAAAAAATATATATATAATCTACCATGGGAACTTAATTTGGATGCTGATTGGTCTTTCTGTATTCAGCTGTGGTTGATGTGAATACTGCCCCCTTGTGACAGTAACAGGTATGTAAAAAAACAACGAAGAGATGGTAAATCATAGGAAACTTTAATGAACTGTATTGACTGAACTATGCCATGTATCATCTTTTGTTTTTATTAAAGCTATTGTTATATATTATTTTCATTAGCAAACCATCCCATGACAATGGAACGTGTAGAGAAGAATGTTAAAAAAAGAAAATATAGTGAGGATTTTTTACTGTATGGTTTTACCTCAATAATTACAGCAGGAATTAAGAAACCGCAATGTGTTATTTGTTGTGAATTTCTATCAGCCAATTCTATGAAGCCGAACAAACTAAAATGCCATTTTGATAGCAAGCATCCAAGCTTTGCAGGCAAGGATACCAACTATTTTAGAAGCAAAGCTGATGGACTCAAGAAAGCCAGACTTGACACTGGTGGCAAGTACCACAAATAAAACATAGTACCCATTGAAGCTTCGTATTTGGTGGCACTCAGATCACCATAACTATGAAGCCTCACACCATTGCTGAAGATATACCAATGCCAGCAGCCAAAGGCATTGTTCGAATTATGATCAGAGACGAATTTGTTACGAAACTGAGTGCAATTTCCTTATCTGACAACACTGTCCACAGAAGAATAGATGACATGTCTGCTGATATTCTTGATCAGGTAATCCAGGAAATTACATCTGCTCCACTTCCAGTATTTAGTATCCAGCTTGATGAATCTACAGATGTTGCAAACTGTTCACAGTTACTGGTTTACGTGAGGTATATTAATGGTGGCGACTTTAAAGATGAGTTTCTTTTTTGCAAATCTTGAAATGACAACTACTGCACGTGATGTATTTGACACAGTTGGTTCATTTCTGAAAGGGCATAAGACAGCTGTTCTCAACCTGTGGGTTGCAACCCACAGGAACTTTATTAAGGGGCCGCGGCATAAGGAAGGTTAAGAACCACAGGCATAAGATCTCTTGGGAAAAGGTTTGTGGTGTTTGCACAGATGGTGCTCCAGCCGTGCTAGGATGTTGATCTGGATTTCAGTGTTGGTACTGAATAAGTCACTCACTGTATGATTCATCGGCAAATATTAGCAATAAAGATGCTGCCACAAGAGTTACAAGAAGTAATGAAAAGTGTCATAAGTTCTCTCATTTTTGTAAAAGCGAGCACTTTAAACAGTCGACTGTTTTCGCAACTATGCAATGAGTTGGATGCACCCAACAGTGCTCTATGTCATGTCACACTGAAGTGAGATGGTTGTTGAGAGGAAAAGTTTTAAAATGTGTTTTTGAGCTTCGTGATGAACTCAAAATGTTTTTTAATCAGAAAGCAAGACCACAGTTTGAAGCACTTTTCAGCGATAAAAGTGAACTGCAGAAAATAGTTTGCGTGGTTGACATCTTTGCCATCTTGAATGAGTTAAGTTTATCACTACAAGGACCAAATGCAACATACCTTGATTTGTCTGAAAAGATCCAATCATTCAAAATGAAACTTCAGCTTTGGCAAAAAAAATTGAATGAAAATAAAATTTACATGTTGCCTACCTTATGTGCTTTTTATTGAGGAACATGACATTGAACCAGACAAAAGGATTATGATGATAATTTCTGTGAAAGGACTTGTACATGCTTGCAGGCAAAATTTCATCAAACTTTCCAAATCTACCTGACACTCCATTTGCACTTGACAGAAGCTCATTCACAAAGTTGGAGATGTTCCTGAGATAGCACAAGAGGAGCTTGTTGAAGTTATTAACAGTGATGCAGCAAGAACTGATTTCTCTACAATGCCAGTTACAAAATTCTGGATCAAGTGTTTGTAGTACTGTCTGAGACTGTGTTGTGCCTTCTTCTTCCATTTCCAACATATCTTTGTGAAACAAAGTTTTCCAACTTATTGGTTATCAAGTCTAAATACAGAAGTAGGCTTCTTGTGGAAGATAATCTTTGTTGTGCTCTTGCAAAGACTGCCCCGAGAATTTCTGATCTGGTAAGAAAGAAGCAATCTCAACTTTGGCTTTTTAGGCATACTGTCACAAAATGTAGCAATGAAGTTTACTCTTGTTATATTAAGGCTACATGCTACACCATGCTTCAAGACAAAATTTCATTTATTTGTAATTAGAAATAAATATTTCACAATATATAATTACATATTGTTTTGTGATTAATCACTATGCTTTAATAATGTTCAATTTGTAATAATGAAAATACATCGTGCACATCAGATATTTACATTATAATTCATAACAGTAGCAAGATTACAGTTATGAAGTAACAACGAAAATAATCTTATGGTTGGGGGTCACCATGAGGAACACCTCGTGTTCCTCCACAACACGAGGTACTGTATTAAAGGGTCGTGGCATTAGGAAGGTTGAGAACCACTGTTCTAAGGCCTCTCTCCTTGGATTATAGATGGCCATCTTCCTCTGATGTCTTCACACAGTCTTCCCTCCGTGTGTTTCCTAATCTCTTCTTAGATAAATAGTGGTCATATTGTATCAGGACCCAACCATATGGAATTATACACATTTGAGGACACAATTCAGCCCATACAAGGGGCAGTCTGAAATGTCTCTCTGGCACAGCCACCTTTTCAAAGTTTTGGCGCTTCTCTGGAGAAGACACATGAATAACAGTTCTATTAAGTCATAGAACTGGGAAAACCTACATGAAGAATACTTTGTTCTGGCTTCTGAAATCACAATACTTTCTTCTGAAGCCTATAGCAGCACCTACTAGGACTTAGTTTAATTTCTGTCTTTTTAATAACCTTAGACTATGTATATGAGTTTTACTTTTTAGTACCTATTTTTTCTCATCTTTGAGTATCTAGCACTTGGTACATGGTATTTGCCAGGAGATAATAAGTGAATTGAGAACAGATGATTTGTCTGTTTTTGGACATTGTCACCATCAGTTTCATCCCCAACCCTTCAAGAAATGAATGCCTTTTCCATAGTCACCTATGAAGGCTGAAGACATATTTTATTGTCTCAGGATTTTTGGACTAAACTTATTCTGATGTCTAAATTCTTTCACTACAGTGATATATTTATGTGCCATTTTTATTAAAGAATGTTATTGCCACAAGTTTCTAAGTTGCTTATTATTTTATGCATTACTATTATTGTTCCCTAGACTTTCTTATTCTTTGTGGGAACATAGGCATTAATAACCTTAAAATAGATCAAAACCAAATTTGATAACTAAAATATGTTGCAATATATGTTATTCACTGTAATTGTAGCACTGTGGGAGACTGAGAAGGGTGGATTCCTTGAGCTCTGGAGTTGGAGACCAGCCTGAGCAAGAGCAAGACCCTGTCTCTACTAAAAATATAGAGAAAACTAGCCAGGCATTGTGGTGGGCATCTGTAGTCCTAGCTGTTTGGGAGGCTGGTCTCAAACTCCTGGCCTCAAATGATCTCCCACCTTGGCTTCCCAAAGTACTAGGATTACAGGTGCAAGCTGCCATTCCTGACCTTGTTTTCTTAATATAAAGATTAATGGATGCTAATTAAAGCCATACCTATCTTGTACACTAAAATGTAACCTAAGCCTTGATAGACTTGCCACTTTGGCTTAAGCAATATTTAAAAAAATGAAGCTAAGTCCAATTTTTTTGTTGTTAGAATGTTTTATACACAATTAAGTCATTTTATTTTGGCCTATGATCAACCTCATCAGGTGTAATGAGAAATCCATTTCAGTATACAAGTTCAATGTTCTATTTTGTTTTTGTTTTTTAAAAAACAAAACTTCTGTCAGTGTGTGTCTGACCAACTGTCTCTATCACAGCCTGGTGCTAGTGTCTGAGTTCAGTCTGTGTCCCCTTCTGTGGGGCTCTGAACCAAAGGCTGGGTTATCCCCACCCTGCCAGTTCTCTAAGGTCCCTGGAGCCTTCCCTGATTCTCCCATCTCTTCCTTTTGTTCTCTGTACCCCGCATCTTACCTTTTAGTTATGGTATCTGTTGTATTGGTTATTTCTCTTCTGCGTTTTACCAAAATTGTTTGTTTTTAGAGCAGGTAATGTGCTGTTGGCCACAGAGGCAGTGAATATTGGCATTGCACTATTTGGCTGCCTTCCATCAGTGAATTCAAACACGAGGGGAACGAGGGAGTAGATTGTTGATGGGCCTCTTCTGATCAGAGAAAGCTGCCCTTTGGAGTGTCTCCCCACACAACTCTTGTTCCATTATCAGGACAGCTCAGGGGCAGTGGTGTCCATCCTGACTTGGGAGTGCTTAGGGCATCCCCCTCTCAGTCCTAGAGTAAATGATGTCAGGGCACTTCTGCAGTTTCCACCCTTGGTGTTCCCTTTGACTCCTAAAGCCCAGTGATGATGGGACTGTGCATATCAAAGCAGGATGGAGAATGCTGTTAGGCAGGTCAGCCCTGGAATACTTGCCTATGTGGCCTAGGAAGCCTCTTTCCAGAAAACCACTGAACTGATAGCAACATCAGTACCAGTATATTCAAAGTTGTTCCTAAAATAGTTCAAGCAAACATTAAATTCCCTTGTCTTAGATGAAGCCACTGAAATTTTTGACAAAAGTAGATATAACTTCAAGCTTTTGGTCTCTCAAAAAGGTTTTATGGAATCAGAATTAGTGGTTGATGAATAGTTTAATAGTTAAATGTTATTATTTCTAGACCTCATTTAGCAGTTTGAATTAGAACGAGAATGTAATATTCATTAAGTTTTCTTCTATGAGGGAAGAGAAAATTAAAATTAAGGGGAAGTTGTCAATACTGCATATATTCGCAATGCTAACACCTCGTGCTACATTCTTTCCTTTTGCTTTTTTCTTTAGGTGATTGAAGACAGTACTGGAGTCCGCCGCGTGGTGGTCACCCCCCAGTCTCCTGAATGTTATCCCCCCAGCTACCCCTCAGCCATGTCTCCTACCCATCACCTACCCCCCTACCTGACTCATCACCCACATTTTATTCATAATTCACACACGGCCTACTACCCACCTGTTACTGGACCTGGAGATATGCCACCTCAGTTTTTTCCTCAGCATCATCTCCCCCCAACAATATATGGGGAGCAAGGTGAGTAGGGTATTGCTGTGTCAGAGACGGGTTGTGACATTTGCATAGTTTGAGAGAGGAGAGCCCTTTGTCTTTTCTGTAATGAGCAAAGGTATAAAAGGCTCCATGCTGTGAGAAGCTCATGGGGAATTCCCAGTGTCCTGTGTCCTTAACTGTGTCTTGGAAAAATTACTTTGTGTGTTGTGACTTTTTTTCTTTCTCTTTTCCTGAATTCTGTCCCTTACTGCCACCCCACAAAGATTAAGAAAAGTAATCCTTTTATTTTAGAAAAGAAGCAGTGATTTACCTATGTGCCCCTGTGAGAGGGGCCTGAGGCAGCACTTGAACATGCGGTCTTTTGGTCACCAATGTGGTCCTCCAGTGAAGGGAAGATTGAAAGGTGTTCTGTGCCCATTTCCAAAGTCAGAAGACTGTGAAATCTCAATAACTTTAGGTTTCCTAAATGTTCTGTGTTGCGATCTTGGCAGAACTCAGAAATCACCTTGCTGTTGATGTGACTTTCCCAAACCTGTTTTTAGTTTAAGACTAGCCATTAGTGCAGCCATAGTTTCACTGGCTGTTATTCAGATACTTACCTTGAAATGAAAATAGCCTCAGAGCTACTGACATTACATCTTTTTAAAGGTTTTGGCCTTTTTGGTTTAGTCTAAAGCCCTTCTCTATCAAAATGGATACCAAGAAACCAGATAAGGGAGGGTAAAAATTAGACTTTAACCTCTAGAATTTTGCAAAGTGATTTTTTCCCCCTGAAGTCTGACTGTGAATTCAAGGATTTACGCTGGTTGAGAAAGATTGTATAAGAAATGCCTGTTACGCTGAAGAAGCTTTTAGCAAGTTATCCCCTTACTTTTTCTTATCAATTACACCTGCATGAGTATTTCTCTGTATGTTCATCTCACATTGTAATTTTTTCTTATTAACAACAACAACAAAAATTGAGATGGGCATTTTGAGTGAAATATCTTGTTGCAACTTAGATATACAATTTGATTTGAAAAAAAATTTTTATATGACTCAAGTTAATCAGGTACTTTTATAGCAGCATGTTGGGAGATGATAGCAAAACATGAAATCAGTACTTTGATTTCACAGCAACACCATTGTCTTCCTATTGAAAAAACTGGAAAACGTTAACTGTAATTTCATTAAATTATAATTTAATTAAAAGTAGGTTAGGTAGCAATAGCTCAGGCCTCTAATCCCAGCCTTTTGGGAAACCAATGCAGAAGATTCCCCAGTCTCTATTGGCTTATAAATAAAAGGCCATTTATATATTTTTACCTTAGATATAAGTGTGCATAGCCAAAAGCAATTTAAACGTTAATTTTCTAAACCATACGAGTTAACAAAGTTATTCAACACAATTTAAAGATTTTTATGTTAGTGCCCACAGGGATTATGTTAAATCTTACCTGCGATGCATTATGGCATTCAGAACATTTACTGTCCTCTGGTATATTTTGACATAGTTTATTTGATTATGCATATACTCTCTAAGTTGATTTGTTTTTACACATTTTATAGTGTAAAATCTTTCTCTTACGAGGAGTTTTTTTTAAAAGATCTTCCTTTAGCTATATGAACAGAAAGGAAATAAAAAGTTTAAGAGTACTAGAGTCACTCTGGAGTCCAAAATCTTTTGGAGCTTTACCACTGAACAATTGAAACATAAATCATTAAATTATTTAGGGTGGCCATACATTTCTGATATGCCTAGAACAGTCCTGGTGTAGGGCTCATGTCTTGAAGAAATTATGAGTATTCCCTTTTCATACTCAGAAGTGTTAAGATTTTGGTGATAATTTATATGATCCCTCTGTATGTGAGGGACCCTTTTTCTTATAAAGATGTAAGGGCCTTACCTCAGTGTTATGCATTGTCATTTTTATTAATGCCCAAATATAATTTCAATCTGATTTAAAAATTTAAATTTAAATTAAATTTTCCCCCTAAGATCATAAGATTATTTTGAAGGCTCCCATTTGTGGAGCCAGGTGACATTTTATTTTTGATTCACTTCCTATTATTCCAAGAGAGAAGTTTGAGGCTACAACTGAGGATGTGCAGCATCAGTTTGAGGCTACAACTGAGGATGTGCAGCATCAGATTGCAAAGCTGGGTCTTATTTGCCCCTACACTTCCTCCTTGGACATTTTCCCCAATTCTGTGAACTTTGATTATTTTAATGGAAATTTTTCATTTCCTTATTTTAGTAAGTTTTGTTCTAATGTTGACTCTTTTGGATGCCACAACAACTCCTTATATTCTGGTTGCTCTATACTTTCTGACAGAAATGTTATTCTGTCTGCAAGGATAAGATACTTTTAAGTGTCTTGATTCAAAGTACACTTTGAAAGGAAATATTTTATTTTTTTCTAATTTTTTCATGTACTAAAAACATTTTGACAGGTAAAGTCAAATTTAGTACTTATAAATTCAAACATAATATGAACCCTTTGAGCTTTGTCTTTAGTATTCTTCATTACTTAAGGAAAATTTCTGAACACAGTATAGTTTTTAATGATTGATTTATTTCTTGATTGGTTGGAAATGAATGGGAATACTTTAAATATGTAATGTATAAAATACTTCCTTAAAATTTTTTTTACCCTGTATTTAGTAATACGTTTAGCCTTCTTTTATACTTTAGACTTATCCCTTCAGTGGCCAGATCGTTTGCCTATTTAATAATTTATTATTGAAATGCAGACTGAGCATTCATTTGTCATCATCACCCACTTTAGAAATTATACCGCTCTATGGAATGTCAAGCTACATCACCCGAGAAGACCAGTATAGCAAGCCTCCGCACAAAAAACTCAAAGACCGCCAGATCGACCGTCAGAGCCGCCTCAACAGTCCTCCCTCTTCCGTCTATAAAAGCAGCTGCACAACAGTGTACAACGGCTATGGGAAGGGCCACAGTGGTGGCAGTGGCGGAGGCGGCAGCGGCGGTGGGCCAGGAGTTAAGAAAGCAGAGCGGCGAGCAAGAAGCAGCCCAAAGTCAAATGATTCAGACTTACAAGGTAAGTCTGCTTTAAAGAGTGAATTATTGGGACAGGGACATCCTAAAGGAAACATCTTTATACATGAGAACATTGTTTCATGTTGGGTAGTGTTTCTGCTAAGAATGTTTGGGTAGACCTTCTCTGACCTGTTTCTTCTCAGAGTGGAAAGAATATTGCATCATTTATTTTTTATTACTACATGGCAGAAATATTACTTTTTGGTCACGTGTACCACGTAACTTTCTATTTAATCTGAAAATGTTTTCACATTAGCCTACTTTTGTTTTTGTTAGACAGACGTGGAAGAAATTCAAAATAAAATAAATTTTTCTAAGTACAGGCTAGTTGAAATCTCAAAATAATTCTGCCTTGTCATGCCAGATATAATTACTTCCAAATTTATTATATAATAATTAATTCTGTTATTAAACTATTACTAAACTGAAATATAATTTCTGTATTTCTGTTTAGTTTCAGACTTTAGTTATTATTTAATGCCATCTTTTTTATCCCAAGTCAAGTATTCGACGACCAAGACTGTGATGGAAGAATTGGGATTATCACATATAGATCAACAGCAGCTCAAAAGGGCATTTTCTTTTTGTAGGTTAATGTTATGGCTTTAGATCAATTGGGGAGGAAGATATATGTATTTTAAATGAAGTTTTGGGGTGAAATTTAGGGACAACCTGTTTTGATGTCTCAAGGCTTTTTTTTTTATAGGCATGGAGATAATTGACTTAAGTGAAGCAAAAGAAGGTAGGTGAGTCTACAGCTATAAATTATTGGAAAAGATAGACAGGAGCAGTTGTAAAAGACAGGACAAGAACTGACTGATACTCAACATACTTGCTGATTCCTTACTGCAGCTCATCCAGGTGGAGGCAGGGACGGTGTCCGTGCAAATGTGCTTATGAATGAGAAATGTGGAGGTCATGTGTGTTTGGGTGTCTGACGAAGACAGGCCTCTGACCAGCTCAAGGAAAGTTAGGTAAAACCAGGTATTGGCGTCAGTGTCCCCATTATGTGGGTGAGTGAATCAGAGCATGAGATGAATAGTAAGAAACCATGCAGTGTGAGAGCACGTTATCTGAGTGACTATGGTGTGCATTCTTTTCATTTTGTTCATTATTCTTTTCTGTTTTCCAAATTTTACTTACAGTTAGTTATCATACCTCATTCTTAACAATCCTTAAACAAAAGACAAGTATCATATTAGAGAGTGAAAGTTCAAGAGGCTTTCGTAGTAACACTTCAACTATAGCTGTATAATAGAATTTATACCAAAAAATTAGGGGCAAGTTTTTCTAAAGGGAGTTTTCATCCAATAAAGGACATATAAACTGCCCAGACAGCTTATGAGTTTTGAAGTACTTTGATTACTTGACTCATTCTTTAATAATTTTTGCCCTGCCTTATGCCAAAACGATTTAAGGCAGATGACAGATACATATAATAGAGGCAGGTTAATAAATTTAAGGAAGCATTAGGGGCAAAAAGATAGATGATAAGGGAAGGAAAATAAAATGAAGGAGGTTGAAGTTATCGCAAAAGTTAATGCAATTATGGATTAACTTTGGCAAAAATAAATACCTTTCTTTCACAGTTATTTCATATCACATGTATCTAAATGTATAAGCTGCTCTGGTTTTTAATATTATAGTTGCAAGAGAAGAAAGGGATTTGCATTGAAATCTACACCAAAGTATTTGGTAATATAGATAAGTATGTTCAGAAGCATTTTGGCATCATACCTTATGAGAGAGAAAATACTTGGAGCACACTGGACCTTTACTATTGTGTGGAATACATGTTACTTTGCTGGGCAACAGTGACATCACTTTTGACTTGGGCTTCTGGGAACATGGTGTTTCATGATAAAAAGGAAACAAATTTAGTTCAAACTTGGTTTGTTGCTCCTGCTCTTGTCAAGTCGCCCCCTCAGACTCAACCAGAGTGCTGCTCTCAGTGTGCTTGGAACAGAGAGTCAGTGGGCTGTTTGTGCGCCCTCCCTCCTTTCAGTTGGAAGCTGAGGGTATTTGTGTATGGGATGAAAAATGCATGTTCACCCAATAAGTGGAAAAACTTACTTCCACACAAAAACTTGCATATAAATGTTTGTAGCAGCTTTCTTCATAATGGTCAAAACTTGTTAAGCCCTTAGGAGGTGACTGCACTGCGCAGCCTCCTAGACAAAGGGAGCATGGTTCAGTCCTGAAGGCAATAAGCTGCCCACCCAGCAGGGTGCAGAGGAATCCGGCGTGCATGCTCCTGAGTAGAGGCCAGTCTGAAACCCACAGTGCGCCCCTCTGCATGGCGTTCTGGGAAAGGCAGAACTGTAGAGACAGATGAAGAGGTTTCATAGTTTCTAGGAGTAGGTCGAGAACGAGAGACGTAGGCAAAATGTCAAGGATTAGGGGGCAGTGAAACTTCTGTATGGGCGCCTGGATCCACATGGAGGGTGGATACCCGTTGTTACGTGTTTGTCCAGAACCACAGGATGCAGCACCCCAGTAGAAACTGCAGGCTGCAGCGGCTGGAAGGAGGCGCTGGCAGCTCCCGCTGAGGACACCTGCCCCAATGCTGCCGCGGGAGGCGAGGTGTGTGGGGCTCTGCTCCTTCTCAGTTCGGCTGTGAGCCTAAACTGTTCTAAAAACAAAGCCAATTCAAACATAATAAATCAAAGGAGATTGAGGACAAATAAGGTGAAGGCATGAGTAAGATTGCTGTAGAGTTGCTTGATGTGGGCCATGTACTTGGTTTGGACCTCCGGATTGTCGAAGCCAAGAGAGAGTGTGGGTCAGGTGCGCGAGGCCTCAGTCGTGTCCGCCTCAGAACGCGGGTGCCAGCTCAGGGGACCTCGCCAGGCTTCTTCCTGCCTCCCTGTCAAGGCAAACTCTCCTCCTGAGCTTCTCTGCCAGAGCTCGCCACAGCCAACTTCTTAATGTTTGAATTTGCTGTGGTCCTGCTTCACGTTAAACTGCAGTTACTGCTAGTCTGATGCCCTGGTTAGGCGTATGTGGGGTCTGCGCAAGGACAGCTGCGCTTAACCACGGCCGCCGGCGCCTGGGGGTTTCTCTCGGTTCTGCTTAGTTGGAGTCCTCCTTACTGTAAGGTGACCAGATGTCCCGCTTTTGAAAGATTTGTCCCGCGTCCCGCGGCGTTTTAAAAAAGTCCTGATTTTTGGAAAGAATGCAGGACAGCTGGGAATGGCGAGGCACCAGGAAGGGAATATAGGGTTTTGGGCTGCTGAAAAGGTTAATGTAACTCCATTTGGGAATGAAGAGGTTAATACAACTTCATTTGGAAATGAAAAGGCTAATGTGAACTCCCTACTCCCCTCCTGGGCAAGGTCACCCAGGTGGACCTGCGCCCTACTCCTTTGAGCCACAGGCTCCGCCCTATACATAATTTTTTTTAATGTATTATATTTGTAAATTGTACTTATGTTGAAATCAAAATATATATATTACAATACTATTTTTGCATTCTATGAAAATTTTTGTTGCTCCACATAGACCAAATTTTTAATTAAGAATACCCACCCCCGACAATAGTGTCCCACTTTACCAATGTTAAAATCTAGTCACCTTACCTCCAGAGGAGGCCAAGCCTCTTACCTTACAATTGCCGTGCTTTCGAGGGAATATATTAACAGTTTTC